GTTGAAGCTATTTCTTTGTATTATATGATAACAGTAAAATTGTAACATTGAAATATTTTGTCTTTTTGATTGATCATGTTGGCTGTTTAACATATTTGGATGCCAGTCTTTGTTACCTCTTGAAAACAGTAATGAATATGACATCAGATGACAATCACCATTAATTACTGGAATGGTTTTAAGCTGATCACTACATGGATATACAGCAAGATAATGAGAGGGAAAATCACAATCTCCAGAGCCAATGAAGATTGCAGCAACTTCATTAACACAGGGTGCATTGTAATGATATTAATCAAGATGACAGTCATTTACAAAGATTATTTGAACTTCCATCAGCTGCTAACCTTGCTCTATTGCAGTATTATTCTCTTTATGTTGAACCTCTTTCATCATTTGAAATGCTTGTGCAAAAGGACTAACTTTCCAAAGTATTAAATCTAATTGTGACAGTAATACTAAATCAAAATTTGTATTAACAGGATTCTTATTTTAGTATGTTTGTGCATCAGCTGTTTCCATGAAATAAAGCTGTCCAAAAGTTGAAATATTATTTGTGTTTGGCTATGCTGGTCCAAAAAAATGATATATTTGTTCTGATATTTTGTATATATATACAGTTCATAGCCAGGAGGTGATTAAATGTTCAACACAATTGAAGCAAATGCTATAGCACCATTATATTTATGAATATTCTTAAAAAAAGTTTTAGATAATGGATGCTCTTGAAGAAAAAATGATTTTAGCTCATTAGGAAATAGTAAAAGAGGTGACAGCACCACAGTGCCTTTATGACAGCAGGATGTGAATTGATCCAAGTCTCTAGCAGTTAGTTTTTTCTGAAAATAAAGTGCACCACAACAATGACATTCAACATCCATTCTTTCAATATCTGCTTCAAGAGGAAAATCTCTAGTAAAATAAAGTGCCTCACAGCTATAACATGACAGTGGAATTGGACAGTTTCTTCTCGCTAAATGTCTTTGTTATGTATTTGTCTGTTGTTCAAGTTGCTGTTCAATAGGTATTAATGCAGTTTTTTTTTGCATTTGGTGTTGGTCTTCTGAGCTCTTATTAATTCTGCATTTGGTCCTTGTCTTCTATGGCATTGACATTGTGTTTGTGCCACTTTTCTTTTACTCA